TATATATATATATATCTTTTTTAAGAAAAAAAAAAAATTTATTTTGAATTGTAGAATTTAATTTGAATTGTAGAATTATCATATTTTTTGTGTCATCAATACATGAATTATTTTGTGTATAAAGAAGAAAAATGTATGAATGCATTCGGAAACATTTTCATTAGTTATATGATGATTGCACCAACTATTCAACAAACCCGTTGCAAGAATTGGATTCACCGTCATCTGCCAGTAGATGGTTCTGTCGCCGTGTCTGACGTCACATCAGCGTACACTGCAATTTGCATAATGGGACCGGCCACCAGAAAATTGTTAACTGAATTAACAGACATAGATTTAAATCCAAAGAATTTTCCATTTTTCACATTCAAAGTAATATAATTGAGTTAAAAAATTTAATTTATATTATATTATTCATTTGCATTCTTTCATCAGGAATTAGACGTTGGACTTGCCAATGGCATTCGTACAATGAATTTAACGCACACCGGAGAACTTGGTTATGTCCTGTATATACCAAACGAGGTAAAAATCCCAAATAACTCGAATAATTATATCATCTTTGCTCTTTCTCTCTCTCTCCTTCCCTCCCTCCTTCCCTTTCTTCCTCCCCCTTTCTCTTTTTCAAATTATATCTTCATTGAAAAATTTTTTTTTTTGATTCATGAAGCATGTTCCAAGTTTGTGAGACTTAATTTTATAATTTCAGTTTGCACTGCATGTTTATACAAGGCTGATAGAGGCTGGAGCAAAATACGGGATGAAACATGCTGGTTATTATGCAACAAGAGCGTTACGCGTTGAAAAGTTTTATGCATTTTGGGGACAAGATCTGGATACCTTCACTACTCCTCTAGAATGTGGAAGATCGTGGAGAGTAAAATTCGATGTAAATATTATACATTGAGGATTAACATTTTAACAATACTGTTATATATGAATTTATGAGACAAATTTTCATTTCGCAGAAGGAAATTAATTTTATAGGCAGAGATGCTCTTTTGAAACAGCGTGAGCAAGGAGTCCAACGCAAGTATGTACAATTACTGTTAAACGATCATGACCTCGAATTTGATACTTGGTGCTGGGGTGGTGAGCCTATTTATCGAAATGGAAAATATTGCGGAATGACAACTACTACGGGATACGGTTTTACATTCAAAAAACAGGTGAACATAGTTTTCCTCTACCTTTCTAGGAAAAAAGAAAAAAGGATGTTAAATTACAGCTGTTTTTTGGCCAAAATGAAAAAGAACCGAGATGTATAAATTATGTATCATATTAAAGGACTACTTGCAAAATCAAGTGATGTACGACTTATGTTAGAGAAACATCGGGAATACGAGAGAAATCGTGATAAAAAGTCAATAAAACTTATCACATTTATTAATAAAAAATTAATATTAACTAAAACCAAAATACCTCGAAAATTAAGCAATAAATGTTTTTGTTGCTTAAACACGTATAATTTAGAGGAGAATTTTCAAGCAATTA